ACGATCGAAAGATTTTATTCTGATTGAAAGAAAGAAAGAAAGAAAGAAAGAAAGAAAGAAAGAAAGAAAGAAAGAAAAAAAAAGGGAAAAAGAGAAAAAGATTAATAACAAAAAAGAAAAAGATTAATAAACAAAAAAAAAGGAAAAGAAACGGATAAAGGAAAGAAAAAAAACGATAAAAAAGAAAATGGAAGGGATTGGGAGGGGAGAGTGGGATGTTTAAAGAGAGAGAGAAAAAAACAAAAAATAAAAGGAAGAACAATAATCTCATCTTTGATCAATTAATCAACATCAGAGATATTATTTGAGTTTATTACTTTTATCTGATCAGGATTCCAAATGAAATGCGTGGAGTCGTTTAAATTGTAAAATTTATTTTGTAAGTGAAAAGTAATATAAATCATTATGCCAAAATATACTTTCTGTTCCTTTCAGTCCAAATGACGCGGAAAAATTTTCGGTAATGATGCGAAAAGAAACGAGAGAAATTAAAGAGAGAAATTAAAGGAAAAAGATAAATAAGTAAATAGCCTAATAGCCATTTGTATTGTTCCCATGTTATCTCGTATTTCTTGTTTATGTGTTGTAGATAGAAAAAGACTGTAGATAATAATTACATCCGTACGGGAATCATCGGATTTCCATCGTCCCCCCCCCTTCTTTTTTTTTTGTGGATCAGATACATCTGTCCAACGATCTATACTTTTCTTCAATTGGTCGGAAGATAAACTCGTCGTTGATCCTTTTTCCAGGTAGAAGAGTGACCATGAAGTATATACGGTTAAAGTCAACTGTTCTTCTTGACTTTCCGTTTTATCTCTTGATATTTTCTACCCCTCTCCAACCTTCCTCCCTCCCTCCCTTCCTCCGTCGCTGCTGCCCTTTTCTTTCCCTTCTTTCGTTTCTTTTCTTGTTTCTCTCTTTCTCTCTCTCTCTCTCTCTCTCTCTTTCCCTCTCTTCTTTTTCTTAGTCGGTAGTTTGACACTGTAAAGAATCTATAAGACATTATAAAGGTCCAGCGACGTTTGGATTCTGAATAATAAAGAAGGGATCCGCACAAAAAAAAAAAACAAAAACAAAAAAAAAAAAAAAAAGAAAAGGGTCTTAAACCATCCCTTTTCTTTGTTAATGTATCTTTACCAAAAGGTCCAGTCTAACGATGGACCATAATCATTTTTATATTCCATAGTAAAATCTCTCTCGGTAATAATATCGGTAAGATCGTAGCAGGTATTAAATATTAGCATAGTCTTATTCGTTTTACCCCTCGTATAAAACGGTAACGTTTTAGCCATTTAGTCATATATCATTGTACCTTTTTCTTTGAACTTTTTCGTCCAACGTTATTTTGATCGGAAACATACTAATCGATTCATTTTTTTTTATTATTTTATTTTATTTTTATTCTTTTTTTTTTTCTTTTTTTTTTTTTTTTTTTTTTTTATTTACTGTTTCTTTTTTTTTTTTTTTTTTTTTCTTCTTCTTAAGACAACTATATGACAAATATGAGAGAAAATTGTTTTATCCCATTTTTATAAATCTATTGTATCTTTTTTCAGATAAGTATATCTAAGATATGATTCAGAAATGATATAAAGAAAATTTCTCTTCTTTTCGTGAAAAAGGAGAAGAATGATTAATACAGTATGATGAAATATAAATGATTAAATGATAAATCATTTATACCTTTATAATATAATTCTATTCTCTTTTTGGTATCATTGAAAAAGTTAATACGATTTGGATGAAATTTCGTTTCGTCGAAATAATATATATCTCGTTCTTTTTTGTTTTTTTTTTGTTTTTTTTTTTTTCTTTTCATTTTCTTCATCGTTTTAACGATAAATAAAAAAAAAAAAATTCTATTTCGAACGATCAATCGGGATCATTTGAAAAATTTTTTCGTCAAGGGATAAAATATCCAATAAACTTTTGCTTATGACAAAATTATTATGTAAATCGTATTATGTAATTTCTTTCTTTTTTTTTTTTTTTGTTCATCATTAATTAACAAGTACAATTTGTAATTGCGTTAGCTCGTAAGAATTAGAAATTATTTAAATACGATTGCGATTTATATCCGTCAAAGGTAATTCTTAATGATCGATAAATTTCGTCATTATTGAAATAAGATATAAAGATTTAAAGTCCTCCACCTCCACCCCACCCCTCTTCTCTGGCAAAAACAATTTTTATTTATCGAAATGATATGGAGTTTAATCTCCGATAAAAAGCAATGATCTAAGTATAAAAGTAATTATCCAATTATCGAGAAAATTCGTACTCGTTTAAATAAGTTATAAATGTTAAAATCACAACAAAAGTAATTTCTATTTACTGAAGTAACACGTAGTTTAATTCCCTCCGTCGAAGGCTAATTTCTAATAATCGAAAAAAAAGGAAAAAAAAAAAAAGAAAAAAAAATTCGCAAACACTTCGAATAAGAAACGAAGAGATTTTTACCTCGAGAAAAAGCAATTTCTATTTATTGAAATGAGAC